GGACTAGCTTCACACTTGTATTATTAGGGCTTGAATGCAATAAATTTGTCAGACCTCACCCAACACCAGCACAAATCTAACCCCCCATTCCCCTACAAAATCTATTATTAAGTATCCTATTACGTCCCCATGGTGCTAAAGTAGTGGCTGCATCCTGGTTGTCTGAAGTGAGGTACCAAACTTCTAGAGGAGACATGAGCTTAAGATATTTGTGCTCAAAGTCCATGGGCTGAATTTGTTTGATGGTAGTTAAAATGTGGATTTTTCCTTCAGCTCCACATGGCAGCAATGTGTATGCATCATTCACTGATATTGTCAGTTTCTGCCCCCTCTCATTCAAAAGTATCCAGGATGCACAAGGGCTTTTTGCATACATACCCACCAATTTGAGAATTGACTCCAGCAGAAAACTTCATATCAACATTCTAGTTGCCCTTAAACACAGAAGAATAAATGACTGTCAGCTCAACCAAAAGGATGAACACTTCAGGGATTTGTGGCTCGCGGAGCCTCATATACCCAGATGGATAAGATGGTTTCTGGGTATTAACTTAGCTTCGTTCTTCACAAAAACAAATTGTGAGCAAGGACGGGAGCTATACTCTGGACCTATCCAGAGTCCATTAGTATTATACTGATATAGTTGGATCTCAAAAACCTCTCCTAATATGAAAAGGATGAACACTTCAGGGATTTGTGGCTCGCGGAGCCTCATATACCCAGATGGATAAGATGGTTTCTGGGTATTAACTTAGCTTCGTTCTTCACAAAAACAAATTGTGAGCAAGGACGGGAGCTATACTCTGGACCTATCCAGAGTCCATTAGTATTATACTGATATAGTTGGATCTCAAAAACCTCTCCTAATATGCCCCGTCCCCCCCCCCCCCCCTATTTTGTATCTGCTGCTCAAAGATGTTATTGCAGTAAGAGTGATAGCACTTTGAGTGACGTGGTTTGAGTAGGTGGACACAATGAGTATAAAAAAAATACAATGAAAAGCATCAGCCTGGTAAGCAAGTTGACAGAGGGGATAGGTCCAAAATCTTCCAAAAATTGTGGATCTTTTATGCTGACACAGTAAAGATGTGAACAGTTAAATGATTAATAGTTTAGCCAATAAGCCCAGTGATAACTGGTTGTAGCTTACCGGTTATCATTTAGCATGGGGCAGGGTGTAGTCCGGTAGAGAAGTGTAGGAGAGAAGGAAAGCTGTGCAGTGCCCCAGCAGGAACCAGAAGGCAGCAGGGCAGGTGGGAGAGAGGAAGGGGAGGGGGGACTAGTACCTGTAGCTAGGCTCTGTGGGCCGTGGAGTAGTTGTAGCCTCTCCGCCACCTGCCAATTTGCAGCGCTGCAGTACTTGTCCCTATGCCTGGATAGATACAGCACCTTCTGTTCCTGTAGCAGCTGTTACTAGAGGTGCTTGCACACACCCCCACCTAGGCTGACCTACAGCTGCTGTCGGGGCTGGCAGGGGCTAGGACTATGTAAGGGGGCATGGGATGGCATCCCCAGGCCTGTGATTCAGCCCTATGGCTACGCCCAGACCCAGAGAGGACCCACCCAGTTTGTTTTGAGGCATAGCCCTAGGGAACTGCTGAGTCCCTGTTGTATGGGTGGGGGGGAGGTTGGAAGCACCCCACTGGTCCTTGGCCAGAGCAGCCCCACATGGACCAAGCTGGGGTTTGCAATACCAATTAATTGTTTAACCTTTTAACCTTTGTAATTACAACAGGTTAAATGGCTAGTTTTTAAAATCAGTATTTACATCCTTAATACATAGATACCTTGTTATGCTATCATTAGCTTGTACACATTTGATTGTATTGGTTAGTTGCATTTCCTGATTACATATTTATTGTCAGGGATGTATGCCCTGGCAGGGTTAAAAATGGTAGATGCTGGGGAGGGTATGACAAGAGAGAGATCACTCTAGATCGGGGTGGCCAGAGTTACTCACCCTAGAAGCCACATCCGATCGTCCCCCAAAGCTGGAGAGCGAGGGGATGGGAAGTGCTGAGCGACCCGGAGTGGAGGTGACCACCACTCCTGCCCTGCACTGCTGAGCCACTCCAGCTTTCCCCATAGGGAGCATGCCCCAGGATAAGTGGCATGGCTGCAGCCCCCACCCCTGGGAGCCTGGTGTCCCTTGGAGCTGTCCTAGGGAGAAGTGGGTGGGGCTTTGGCAGAGAAGCCCCAGAAAGCTGCAAGTACTGTGCTGGCAAGCTGTGCACGACTTGTGAGCCACGGTTTGACCACTGTGGCTCTTGATATACCTTATTCATGTGCTCTCCTTCTAAAGCAGCTACTCCTGCCACTGTCTGAGGATACTGGGCTACATGGCCCCACTATGGCACTTATGTTCTTGACAATAATTATATGCCAAGCATGTTCCCACAGTTAGGGAATACTGGGATTCTAAGCCAGAAGTTGGAAATTATTTTGGCTGGAGGGCTGTATAATGAGTTTTAGTGAGCTGTCAAGGGCTGCAAGAAACATTTTCAAAACATATTTTTGTCCTGATGTATGTGTGTTTGCATAGTGTTTGCAGGTGACTGCATAATAGCTCAAAATAAAGTTTTACTCTTGTGTACTCTGTGTGTGTGGGGTTTGTGGTTGTTTGTAGAGGGGTGTGGTGGGATGGAGTGTGGGGTTTGTGGGGGTGTGTGAGAGGGGTATAGTGAAGTGTGCGTGGGGAGCCTCCTCCTCCACATGTCCCCCATGGTGCACAGCTCCTGCAACCGCTGGCATCAGCAGCAACTGGCAGCAGACCCTGTGGTGCTCATGGCCCACACAGGCGGAGCCCCAGCAACTCAGCTCCAGCCAGTTCTGGGATCTGCACATGGTGGCAGGGAGGATGTGCACATGAGCAGCGTGGAGCCGTGTGATGGAATTGGGATGACCTGGGTTCTTTGCTCCTGCCATCCCTTGGGTGCAAGCTCCACATTCCCGCCAGCCCCACACTCTGTGTTCCCACCCAGCTCTAGCATCCCACTGTCTGCCCCCACTTTCCTACCTGCTGCTCAGAGTGCTGCAGTAGGGACACAAGGAGGAGCTGCTGGAAGCCAGAGGAGCTGGGTAGTTCCCCAAGCACCTGCAACAGTGGCAGCAGCAGCCCTACCCAGAAGCTGTGCACACTGGGCAGGTCTGAGACTGGGGCCTTCCTATGTATGAGGGTGGGAATGTAGCATACAGCGCTGACTGGAGTAGGTGGGGCTCAGCCCCATGTGGAGCATGATAGGCAGCTGCCTTTGGGCTGGATGAAATAGCCTGGTGGGCTGCATTCTGATTGCAGGCCATATTTTGTCCATCCCTGATCTAAGCTGCCTTCATTCAATCTCAGCACATCGTTAATTTAACTTGTTTTAGGTTTTTGTTATCTTGTTCAGCACAGAGCTTAACAGGCAGGTATAATGTATCACTACCCTACATTTCCCTATTTAGTTCCAGCAGCTACAGCTCACTCGCATACCATCTCTTTAAGAGGCTTCACTAAAGTAACTCTTTTAGCCTGCCCAACAAGGCCTGCATCTTGTCCAGGCTTTTTCTCACCCTTCAGTCAAATAGGTTTAGCTGGATGTAATTACTTTTACCAACTCTTAAGGCTCATTCCACCAGAGCTCAAGGAGCATCCTCTTCTTGCTTCCAAAATCTACAAGGCATTTAGGTACAACAGCTTGTGTATATACAAGAAAGATCATTCACTTGATTTGATGAATTTCAGTAGAAGTGTGTGTGTATACTAGATTTGGGAGATTCAGTAAAAGTGGGTGTGTCAATAGGTTCTCAGTATGTGTCCCAAATGTCATCATGTATCTTGAAAGAATGCTGTTTGCCAGTCACCTTCAATGAGATTCTAAAACCTGCTTTTATAAGTCTTCAGCACACACAAGCTTCTGATTTGAGGAAACTATGGGAGGGATTTGGCCACTGGCACATGTGAAATCCAACTCAACTCTTCAGGGACATGCACATGCCTCTGCAATGGGATCTGTAATGGTTACACTTGCTGAACTGTAGTTACAATAAAAGTTAGATAACTATTCTTTCTATGTAGCAGCATGATTTTCCCATCTAGTTCAGAGACAATATTGCTATGAGCCTCGAGTTAGTGGATTATACTAATTTTAGACATCCATTTTCTCTGGGTACTACAAACAGAAGGGAGTGTTCTCTGTTTACCTGCCAATCCTGGAATCTTACCTGCTGAAGAGGAGAGAGAAGCAAAGGCCCTCTTGAAATTTCCATTGGTTTCCTTGCTTTTGCACTTTTAAGTGAAACCTCCTTAGTGCCTTTCCTTGCCTACTTTCGTGGTTATTCCTTTGCCAGTCAGCATTAGTGAAGTTGACTTATTTCATATGCATGTCCCCAATGTCAAGAGGGCACTGAATAGCACCCATCTTCACTCTGCTGCAGTTTTTAAATATTCCGAACATCTGAAAGCTTCAGCTACTGGAAGCCCATAGTGTGTATCGCTGTCCGTCTACTCATACTCTGTTCATATTTGGAAAAGTGTTGCAACCCTGTAGCTTAGCATCCAAGATAAGATTTGTGAGTGGTCAGTAACTTTGAAAATAAAATGGAGGCCTTTGTAAAATAAGAATATACGACTTAGCTCATCCATTTTGGTTAACATCATGGCTCATTTTTAGCCAGAGAATTGATTCTATACATGCCGATAGCTTTCATAGATGTGAACTTTCTTCTTCAAGCGTGCAAATAGCTTTTAAGGTCCTGAAAATTAAAGTTTTTAGCAAGGCTGTCTTCCTTGCTCAAGTTTAGTTTAGCATGTTAATCAGTTTAGTTTTAAGTTGTTTAGTAAAGAAACTACTAGCCAGGAAGGTGTGGGAGTTAATGTTGCTCCACTCTACATCCCAAAGCTTGGCTTTATTTTAGCTGTAATTGTTGCAGTTTGCTACAGACAAGCTGTCAAGCAACCCAATGTTGATACAGTGGGCATTAAACAAGTTTCATGTAATAAATATTATCTTTATTTTCAGCCATCAAGTTTTATCGTCTAGCCATGCAACTTGTACCTGATATAGAGTTTAAGATCACCTATACACGGTTGCCGGACAGTGATGGAATTGGAAAGAGGTAGTAAGTATGATAGTGTGCGCTATTGAGAATCAGACTTAGGCATTTTATTTCTAGTGTACATATACTTGCTATAGTGCCACCCATGTGTTTATAAAGTTAGCAAAAGCTTGAAAAACAGCCCTGTTGAATTTATTTTAGTTCTATAGAAGGTTCTGCAGATCCTTTAATAGGCATAGGAGCCATTAAAGAAGAAGTGATGTGAGGGTCAGTGTTTAATGCTTTTAGAGTCAATTAAAAAACAAAAACAAAACAAAAAAAAACCCCAAAACTTATCCTGAATGATTAGAATGGCTTAGTAAACAGTAGTGATTTAGCAATTTAAACATGTAACACCCATCTTATTACTTTGTATTTTACATTTCAGATTTGTCAGTTGTACAGCTAAAGTAATCTTTAGGTTAGTTCAAGTTAAGCTAATTTTTTTTTAAAGGTACTCTATATTATCAGAGTTTGTCTGCACAGAAGCAGTTTACATCAGAGCAGGGGTAGGGAACCTTTGACCTTAGTATCTGGCTGCTTGTGTTGGATGGACAGGCCCTAAGACTCCACCACCACTACTGTTTCTCCCCGTGGTAGCACAGGGAGAGCACCTGCAGCAGAGCTGCCTTCATCTGAATACCACGAAAGCCCCACATCCACAAGCTGTATCCAGAGGTTCTGTAGGTCAGATCCAGTCTGCAGACCATACATTGGTGACCCATTCATTAGAAGTACTGTCTTTGAGCTACCACAACCACAGCATGAAACATCCCTTTGAGCAATTGGATTAGCAACTGAGCAGTTGTAATTTGAACTGCTCTGTCCTCATAATTAGATCCAATATCAGCAACCCTTGAGCTTCAGACAAGTTTTTGTCCCAAACTAGGGTAAAAGCTAGGTAGATTACACTTAAACCAGCACTTACCTCAGCTAGGATGTGTGTGAACAGGAGCTAAGTTGGGAGAAGAACCTCATGTTATAGCTTGAGCCAACAGAAAAAAACCCATAGAAGATTCTGTTCTTGTAGGCAGATACAGATACAGCTGGGAAACATCCTTACAAAAAAAGGAAATAGAAGAGCTCAGGTGCTTTTCTGGGTATCTAAGTTAGTATTCTTACTATAATATTGAATGCCTTGCCAGCACAAGCTGTTTAGTACAAGTCCACAAAGTAGGAACATGCTTGGTTGCAAAGTCTTATAACTTCTTTAGATTCCTCACCTTTTCCCAGTTATTCACCTTTACTCCTTTCAATCTAGTACCAACTATGTAAGCTTCTTAAATAGTTTTTAATAGCTCCTCCCTGACTCCAGGTGGAGCCAGCTTCCGCCGCTTCCCCCCTTATATGTTTTATAAAAGTGCCATAATTTTAACTGATTAAATAGCAATACAGCTATTAGTATTTCTGCTTTCTAAACTGAAAACGTATATAAGTTCTCTACATCATTGCAAGGGAAAGAGCTGCATTTAACTAAAATGCATTATTGAATTGGCTCTCTCTCTTGCTCTAATGCAAGGTGAGTCACAACTGTTTTATCAATTTTCCCTCTCTTGCATGGCAATATGTTACTGTGGTTTAAGGTGTGTCAGACTCAGTAGCAGCTTGCTTTTAAAAATATTTTAAGAGCCTTTTACCAGCTCTGTAGCTATATAGAGATCTCCCCCCAAGTTTCCCTAGTTAAACTTTCTTATAGCACAACCAAGCTAAAAGAGAATTAAAAGTAATTCCCTGAAATTCTTGCACCTGTGCTATTTTGACAGCTATCTTCTTATTAAGAAGAGCCATGTGTGAGTGGTTACTTGCATTCATCTGTGTACGACAGCCTCATTATAAAGAACCCAGATTTAATCTTTGGATTGCATTAATGTTTTTCAGTGTATTAGGAAAGTATATTTACTAATTAATAGTAATTAGTTTCTACTGCAATCTTGTTTACTAATAATTTACACTTTAGTATGTTTAATGGCCCGATGCTGAACAAGACTTGTCAAATCATTTCTTCTAGGGGATAGGTGGTGAGGAAATCCACAAAGGGGTACAGTTACCTCATACAAATGGTCAAAAAATTCCTTAGCTGCTTTAAATGCCACCTTGAGTTATGTGTTATAAAAATATAACTTTCCATTAGTATTGCTGCTATTTTTTGCAGATAGATCATCTTGGAGAACAAACAGTAGTTTCCTATTTGCCTCTTATGTTCTAGTACAGTTCTCCAGTGACTGTTTTGCAAAAGTTGCAGGTGAATATGTCAGTTTGAAAAAAGAAACTGTTTAGTTTTGAATGTTTCAATTACTATCAAACTCCTGTTTTAGCAAAACCTAAACAAACTGCATTGGATTTCTGAAATTTAATTTAAAGGGAAATTAGATTTGGATTAAAAACTCTTAAATACAAATCAGAAATACTTAGGAAAAAGTCAGTTTGAAGAGTAAATAAGTATATCAGTGATGTTTTTTCTCCTTTCTGTAGCATTGAGGATAATGAAGATGATGGCAAGATGGCTGATCTTTTGTCCTATTTCCAGCAGCAGCTCACTCTTCAGGAATTTTCAGTCAAACTTTGTCAGCCTGAGCTTGATGTCAGTCAGACTCATATCTCAGGTGTGAGATCTGTTATGTAACAGATACATGTAACATAACATTGTAGAGGAGAAATGTTTGGAGATATTTAAGCCCAACTTCATTAGACCATTCCTTGTAAAATTTACATTTGCCTTACTAGTAAGTGATTTAAAGTATCTAGTTGATCATCATTATTATAACTAGAAATATTGCAAAAATGCATATCAACTGTTCATGTCCTTGTCTCAGTGCTGCAAGCTACTTACTGTGGGCAGATGTTATATAGAGCACTTCAAAGGATCAGAGCCACACTTTGAAATTTGCTTATTTCAAGTGACGTATCTTTGGAACTAGCCAGTTATCAGTCTTGAGAAGGACAGAATTTGTTTAGAGATGTGAAATAGTTCCCTTTTTCCTGGCATATATTAGTCTGCTACAGTTTCATAAGTATGAATAAAAGTGGCTTGTGTTATGGAATACTATATATTTTACATTTGGTGGTGTAGTGTTTCTGATCCTTTTTATCAAATAAATGTTTTCATAGTTGTTTATAAATGAATACATTCATACACAGATTAAAATACTGTATCCAGGGGACCTTTTTTTAATATTACCAAGGATATTTGAGTGCTTCCAATCTTAAAATGGAAATAATTTGGGAGGGATCTATTTTGCACAGGGCAAGCACGTGCTCTCTGAAAATCAGGCCCCTATACAATATTCTATATGTCCCTTATAATCACAAGTCCCTTTTCAGAAACTTGGCATGATTTCTTCCTCATCTTCTCAAGGAAGCAAAATAAACCTATGTGATCTCTCCAAGTCAAGCACAAGGAAAACAGGACTTCATTAAAACTATGGCACTGTTTGTATTATTATCGTCATCATCATCATCTTTCACTCAGACCATTTGGAACAACTGTTTCTTCTCCAGACGTTCTTGTACAAAGCTATCAAGAAGTTGTGTTCCTGTATCAGAAGACTGACTATCAGGAATTCCAGGCTTAACCAGAGGAGGGCTGAAAGCTATTTCCCCTTTAGTCTTTTTGCTGTTTTGCTATTATTCTGTTTTGCTGTGTTGGTTAGACTGGAGTCACTTCATTAGCTGGTATGGTCGCTATTGGTCACTTCCGCAGCAGTTACACACCCCTTGAGCCCTTGATTAGAAAGTAGCAAGGATGTGGGAAAGAAAAGAATCTGCTGTATGGTTGACCCACCCCATATCCTGTGATCATTTTTTTTGTTAATAGCATTAGCACCAAAAGCTAGACTCAGGATCTAAATGAACTAAGTACTGTATAACTACATAAGAGCTGTCAGCTTATAGCTTATTTCCCCTTCATTGGTGTATGTGTATACTTTATTGAAAGCAACTTTATAGCATCTTTATGTGTGTATATATAGCTATCATCTGTACTGTATTAAAATCTAATTTTCCAAATGCAGGGAAGGCATGATTCCTGTGCTGAATTTAAATATCCAAAGTCCTGATGACTATATGAAATAATCTTGTGTCAAAATAATCAGCATCCTCCCCCTTCCCTTCCACCCACCCTATGGGAAAATCCAAACTAAAAGAATGTTTTTCTCTTCTAGAAAGCAATTAGTGTGTGAAAGTATTTTAAATTTTAGTAAAAAACTGTGCAGCCTTAAGTACAAAATCTGTTAGTGGTGGCTATTGCTATACCCCCTGTATTTTGCCAGGTGTTATCATCAGAGGAGCTCTCAGCATTTTAGACCAAACATCTCAATTGCCCTAGGCAATAAGTAAAAGATGTGTATATATAAGAATTTTTCCTCCCACAGGCCATCGAAAACAGCAGCTGTTAAAAACCTATAGCAACACTTTCAATATGCAGATATTGTACTAAAGATAATACCTAGGTAAAACTGCAGAGAGACTCTTAGGGAGGCAGAAAGCAATCAGGGCAATTGTTATGTAGCGTCTTCCATCCAAGCAATGACTTGGCTTAGTTTGTGATATCAGTGCATCACTTTTGATATAAGATGGTTACATGGAACAAGCAGTTGTTTAAATTAAATGTTGTTTTATCAGCCATTTTGCATGTATAAGGAACTTATTATATGCTAACGCCTGTGGCTTCATAAAGTCAACTGATATAATAGTTGTCCCCTGAAACTACATGCATTTATAATCTAAAACCATGCTATAAAATGTTTTCCTTTGATTTATAATATAATAATGTGAAATCTTGTACCATACTTTATGTAATTAGTAGACTATTCCCATTCAAATGCCAGTGGACAATTGTTCTCTAACTACTTCTGGAAGACTAGGTTTTAGTTACTCCAAAAGATTGGGGTTAGAGAAATAAGTTCTTTGGTACTCATGTTACCTTCTGATCTTTTGATTATTTTCTGTTCACAGTGCTGCCTATGGAAGTACTAATGTACATTTTTCGATGGGTGGTTTCCAGTGACCTGGACCTACGGTCATTAGAACAATTATCTCTGGTCTGTAGAGGATTTTACATTTGTGCCAGGTACAGATGAAACTTTTTTTTCTGCAGTAAGATATTATCTTCTGTTCTCAAGGTTCAAGAACAAAGAATCTTTCTCTGATCTAACAACCTACCCTTTAATCCCATTCTTTAAAGTGGTTATTAAACGAAGAATGTAGTCAAGAGACACTTATATAGAAAACTTACCATTTTTAGAAATTTGAAAATTCCAGGTGGCAATTACTTTTAATGTCGTTTATAAAAACATAACAAACAAAAAGTTAATCTCAGTACATTAACAGCATAAAATAATGTTTATTCCCATGTAAAGAGTTTGACTTGTCAAAGTATATGAAAGTCCACTAGACAGAGACCTGTAATAAATTTACAGATCAGATTATCCTGTGTAAATTTTTTTTGCTATTCGACTGCTGTATCTTTTGGTCTAAATTCTGCTTGCCTTACTCGTGCAATCCCATATTAAAATCCTGACAATTCTAATTAGGTGCTTGAATACTTTACTGAAAAGTATGGCATAACTATCTGGATGAAGTATTTGGATGGACAAACTACTTCTAATAGTTTTTGATTTTTGAATGAAGGTTGTAAGGAGTCATCAGATGCATGACATCCCTGCGGGTGCCCCTATTTAGCCATCACAGTGCTTAGAAATTAAGTACCTTTCCCCAGAAGAATGTTCCATAGAGGCAGAATTAGGTGCTTAGCATCTTCATGTAGTCAAGTAGCAACTCTTCATCAGTGTTGTGTCAGGATGACATACTGACGTTTGAGACGTCACTCGGATTGAATTATGATGTTGTATTTTGAGAAGAGAAAATGGCTTTCTGACTTCATAACGATTCTCAGTACTATCACTAGGTGAATTAAGAAATCTAAGCACCGAAGAAAACAGTTTTTACGTGTGTCCCTACCCCGTTCACCATTATATTATTAAAGTCACTTTGTGTTCTTCATATTTTGATAGAGGATTTCAGCCACATGCAGTTAACCTATGATTATTACTTTTCTTATTAGGGATCCTGAAATCTGGCGTCAGGCCTGTTTGAAAGTATGGGGCAGGAGCTGTAATAAACTTGTTCCCTATTCCTCCTGGAGGGAAATGTTTTTGGAAAGACCTCGTGTTCGATTTGATGGTAAGATTTATTTTTGGTAATTCAGATGACTTTGCTTCCGTTCATGATCGTGCTAAGAATAAGGTTGCATATAAGACAACAAATGTTAGACTGTATCTGAATTCAGTTTTCTTTTGAATATTCAGAATGTCTTTAAAATCAGTTCTTCCTCTTTAGATAACATGATGTAGCTGGAAACTTATAAATCCATAGTTTCCAAGCTTTTAAGTTTGTATGATTAAGATTATATATATTTCAGGTTCTTACTTTCTTGTTCTTTCCACTTCTGTAGGTGTTTATATCAGCAAGACCACGTACATACGTCAAGGAGAGCAGTCTTTAGATGGTTTCTATAGGGCATGGCACCAAGTGGAATATTACAGGTATAACTGTATTAAATACAGGTCACAGACAGGCATGCATTCCTATTGATAAGAATATTTAAAATTCTTACCAGTAGAAAAATAGGCTGGGAGCTGTAGTGTTCTAGGTCCCTGGTAGACGGGGTACACAGGTGAGTTCTTCAGCCAACGGATGCTGTCTGGGCCACCCCTGTCCATAGGGGAGCCCAGCACTTGACAGCCTGCCTTCTCCCTTGCCTGGGAAGGGGGCAGGCTGTTAATAGGTAGCCCCTGGGTTTTTAAATTGTTGAGTGTGCAGCCCAGATGGGCTGCACATAGAGAGATTTAAAGCCAGGGGCATAGGGAATCAGGGACAAGTAGAACCTCCCCCATTCTAGTTCCTAGCTCCCCAGCTTCTAAATTGCTGGATGGCACACACTGCATCAAAACCCCATAGGGCCAAATCTGGGAGAACCTGCCTGCCCCAGTTCCCAGCACTGCTGCCTTTAAAATTGCAGCCCCTGCCACCAAGCTGAGTGGTACAGGCAGCTGGGGGAAGCCAGCAGGGTCCAGAATTCTGTTTCCCAATTCTGACGTTACCACCCCTCTTGCCCAGCTGGCAGTCCCTGACTTGGGGAAGAGGCAGGGAAGAACAGTAGCTGGTGCCTTCCCCTCCTGGACCCATCCAGGAGGGAAGGGGAGCAGCGGGGCAAAGTCCCCAGCCCATTCCCCAAACTGGTTAGTCTTCAATCTAGGGAAGAGGTAGAGAGCATTGCCCTGCTGCTCCCCTCCAGGACCGGTTCAGGAGGGGACTGTACAGGTTTTTCTTGTGAAAGAGTTTCTCTCACAAGGAAGATCTTCCAGGTTAACACCTGAAAGATCTTTCTCCTGAAAGGGGCATGTTTCCCTCATGAGAAATTAAATGAACACTTGCATGCTTGCAGTTCCCACTGGGAGAGCAGTGATTTCTCCTTGTAGAAATGTAGCACCTGTGGCCTGAATGGCCTGAATGTGATGTCTCTAATTACTTTCTAAGTACTTTCATTAATGTGTTGCAAACATTAATTGTTCTGCTGATTTCTGTGAAACTAGAGTTCACCTGTGCACTGTAGGTATCTAAGCACTCTTGTGTTTCTGAGATTGGGGCCTCAAGGAATAATAGAGCGCGTCAGTAGAGATGGGTGTAAAAACAAATTCCTTCATTTGCATCTCCTCTTCATGTGGCTGTAAATAGTGAATGTTGCCCATGGAATTTTCCCTCTTCCCAAAATTATTCCTACCTTTAAGTGTCCATAGTAATAATGCTTAGCAAAGGAAAGATCAGTGATTTAACAGGGATTAGCTTTATACCTATTCAGAATAATCTGGCAGCAGATTTAGGTGGGATTTTTTTTTTCAACCTTCTTAGATTTCTGAGATCATTTTACCCATTCACAGGGATGCCTTTCTTAACCTACTGTATCTTCTCATTGTACTGGTCCCATAAACATGTTTTCTGCTGCAGGATCTTCTGATTGGATAATATCTCATCTCCAGGTTTTCACCAAATCCTTCGGTTATCTATATAATCTGAAAAATATCAGTGGGACTTTCTGAATCTTAACATCTCAATTCTGAGACTCAGGGTGCAGATGAATTATCAAACACATGTTTTCATATTAACAGGACTTAAAATCTAATCACAGTTACCTCAGTAGATTCCGGGGGAGAGGAGTTTCCCCAAAGTGATTTGAGTTTCATTTTGATTTCTGGTTAGTAGTTCCTTTTCTAGATCCTTTATCTGATTAAAGAGGACACAAGGGGTGCATCTACATGAGATACTGACTGTGCAGTAGCCTAATAATACTGCACAGTAGCGTGTCACAGCACAGACAGTGCTAATATGCTACTGCACAGTATTATTAGGCTACTGTTCAGTAGCATCACTTAAAAGACATATGCTGACGTAAATCTGCAGTAACCACTGTGTAACAGTATCTCGTGTAGTGCCCAAGGTCCCAGCTTCTGTCCCTGGGCAGAACTTAGCATGGTTTTGATTTTTTGGCATCTGATGACCTGTTTCTATGGTTTTGGCAATATATGATTAATCTGTCCTACCTATACTTTCTTGAGATGATCCCTATATAAGAAAGCATAAGATAAACTACAGTAAAATCCCTGTTATCCAGCATGAGTGGGGAATGGGGGGTGCCAGATATCTAAACATGCCGGTTACCTGAGGTTTCTGGATGGATGTGGAGCGGGGAGGGCAAA